GAGGGGGGAAGGGAGGGGGCAGCCCCGCGGTGACCGTGGCTTTGTCACTCACGGGGGGGGGGCGCCGGGTTGCCGCTGGCTACACTCGTGTGCGGCCCAGTGCTCTGAAGGTGAGTGTGTGCGTGTGTGTACACGTGTGTGTCTGTCTGTCTGTCTGTGTGCATGTATGCCAGTCCTCCCTGCGACTTGAGCCACAGCTCCACATCCAGTTTTGCACACCCTGGTTCACTGGAGATGAGAGTCTCAGGGACTTTCCTGCCTGGGCTGGCTTTGAACCGTGGTCCTCAGATCTCCTGAGTAGCTGGGAGGCCAGGAGGGAACTCCCCGTGCTGGAAGTTTCTGTGTTTGGTTTTGTTCTTGGGCTGTTGTGAGGCTGGAAATCAGGGCCCCCCCGGGCTCTCTCTCTTGGCTTCAGCTTTTGCTCCAGGCTGGCACTTTATCTCTTGAACCACACCTCGAGAGGAGGCTTTTTGCTGCTTAGAGATAAGATTCTTGGGGACTTTCCTTCCCCTGGCTGGCTTTGAACCTCCACCCATCCTCAGATCTCCAGCCCACAGGGTAAGCAGAGCCGCCGGCCACTGGGCACAAATCAGTAGTTCTTCCACTGCCCCCTCGGCCCTGGTGAATGGGCTGCCTTCTTCTGCGTCCCCACTCCGTCTGGCCAATGACCTCCTTCCGCCTCAGTTTCCTTATCTGTAAACTGGGAATTGACCTGGGCTGGCTGGGGAAGGGAGGGGAGGGATTAAGCCCTGGTGCTGGAGGGGATGGTATCTGACTCTCGAATAGTAGTTATTATAATGGAGGCTGTTGTTAACAGCTTGATCACAGCACTGTAAATGCTGTGTGGCTGTGTGCACACGCGTGCATGTCTGTGTGTCTGTAGGTGACATTGTGCAAACTTGGGGTGACTGTGGGTAGCTTGGGGGGAGGAGTAGTCTCTGTCAATGGCTCCCAGGTTGTCCATGGAGCTGTGTGGTTGTATTTGGGGTGATGGTGTTCATTCATTGTATTTAATGTTTTATTACTATAGAGGTGATGGTGTGTGTGTGTGTGTGTGTGTGTGGCAGTTCTGTAAGTCAGGTCACGAGCACATTTCCTTTTGGACCATGTCCCTCTTCCCTCAGTGGCTCTTATTTTTTCCCTCCCGTCCCCACCCACAAAGTGTAGAGATCATTCTCCACATCACGTCCAGTGAGGACCACGGTTCACCCTCCATCCCCCACATTTCTGTGCCCCCACAAAAGACAGATTAAATAGGACAAAAAGAAAGGAAAAGAAAAAACAGCCACGAAGCAGACAACCTCTCGCTTCCAGGTCCTGGAGTTCATGTGCATAGATAGGTGTTGTAGGATCAGAGGCTCAGAGGCCTGGTATCTTTGCGCCTCTTCCTTGAGTCTGTTGTGCATTTGCTATTTAAGGACACGAGCGGGATCCTGGTGTCTTAGCTCTCCCCTGGTACCATTTTGTTTTTGTTGATCATGGGACTTGAACTCTGGGCCTGGACGCTGTCCCTCAGCTCTTCAGCTCAAGGTTGGTGCTCTACCACTTGAGCCACAGCTCCACTTCCGGTTTTCTGGTGGTTCCTTGGAGATCAGAGTCTCACAGACTTTCCTGCCTGGGCTGGCTTTGAACCGCAATCCTCAGATCTCAGCCCCTGGAGTATCTGGGCTGACTGGCATGAGCCACCGGTGCTTAGGCCTGAGCCATTACTAGAGACCCTGCTCCTCTGGACAGGGGATCTTCTTGAATTAGCTACCTGCCAGCCACCTAGTCAGCTCCTGGGTGGAATGAGAAGGTCTCAGCTCACTGGAGGAGTGTTTGCCTAGCTGTGGGTTCAATCCTCACTGCATATGTTTGCGCATACACACACCACACATGTCCGATCTCTGCCAGGCACCGTCCTCCATTTTTTCCTCTCTTCTTCTCTTGTCACATGACTTCTGATCATGCCTTCCCCTCCCCTTCCCCCCAGGCCTGCAGGATGACCGTGACCTACAGGCGCTGCTCAAGGGTGGGCAGCTGCTGAAGGTCAAATCGGGCTCCTGGCGGCGAGAGCGCTTCTACAAGCTGCAAGAGGACTGCAAGACCATCTGGCAGGAGTCGAGGAAGGTCATGCGGACGCCCGAGTCCCAGCTCTGTGAGTGGCCGGCCTGGGGGTTGGGGCACGCCGGGTCGCTGGGGTGGAAGCTATCCATGGGCTGTGACTACAGATGGGGAAACTGAGGCCCAGACTGGTGGGATCTTCCCCGCTAGGGTTGAGAAATGAGGAGCTGGCTCACGCCCGTCACCCCAGCTCCTCAGGAGGCTGAGATCTGAGGATCACGCTTCCAGGCCAGACTCGGGCAGGAAAGGCCGTGAGACTGATCTCCAATGAACCACCAGAAAACTGGACATGGAGCTGTGGCTCAAGTGGTAGAGCGCCAGTCTTGAGCTGAAGAGCTGAGGGACAGTGCCCAGGCCCAGAGTTCAAGTTCTAGTGTTGGTACCAAAATGACAGAGGAGGAGGAGGAGGAGAGAAAGGGGAATAGAGGAGAAAGATATGAGATAGAGGAGAGAGAAAGAGAGGAGATAGGAGAGCGAGAGAGAAGAGATGGAGGGAGAGAGCACTGGGCGGGGTTGGTTGCTCAGGTCTGGGTGTGTTGGGGAGGTGCATGGCTGGACCAGCTCCCCAGGTGTCTGGGTGTGGTCTTGGCGGACAGCCGGGCCCAAAGTCCGGGGACAGAGAGGGCACTTCCGGGGTGTCCCAGGGCAGGGTTGTGGGGTGTCTCCCCATGGGCAGAACTTCCTGGGCTTCAAGCTCAGGACATCGGGTAGAGCAGGGCTGGGACACACACACACACACACACACACACACACACACACAAGCCACTGTTGGGGTGTGGGGGGATTTGCTTGCTTGGGGATGTGGGTCTGAGGGCCTTCTGGAAGTTTCTGGAAGCTTCCAGAAGATCCAAGACCCCAAGGCTAGGTGAGCATATGGAGAGTGAAATCTAGAGAAAGCGAGGCTGATGTATCTTTTCTTTCTCTTTTGTGTCGGTGCTGGGGCTCGAACTCAGGCCTCTGCCCAGCCACCTGTCAAGCCGCTGCCCAGGTGTCTGCCATTTTCTCTCTGGGGTGAATCAGGGCTGCAAGTTTTTTGGGGGGGCTCTTGGGGGGTGGGGGAAGGGGCTCCAGGGCCCTGACTTCCTGCTGTATTTATTTATTGTCTGATTAACTTTTTTAGGACAGCTTTAGCTGCACGGGGTTAAAAGCCCTGAGGCACGCAGGAGAGATTAAGGGGAGATTTGCACCGGACCCCAGATGGTGTTGGGGGGGGCCTGCACCCCGCCAGCCATCCAGTGCAGGGGCACACACCACGCACATGGGCTTGAAGGTGGCTGGGACCCCTGCACCTCCAGCCCGTCCCGGCCATCGGGATGGGTTAGACGCAGGACCAGGGCACTTACTTTTACATTTTAGTTTTGTTTATGTATTTAGTGTGTCCCGGGGCTTGAACTCAGGACCTGAGCGCTGTCCCTCAGCTCCTAAGCTCCAGGTAGGCGCTCTACTGCTTGAGCCACAGCGCCACGTCCGGTTTGCTGGTGGTTCACTGGGGACAGGAGTCCCACACACCTTCCTGCCTGGGCTGCCTCGCACTGCGGTCCCCCAGATCTCAGCCTCCCGAGGGGCCAGCTGGGTCCCAGGCATGACCACCTCCCTTCTGCGCAGTCTCTATTGAGGACATCCAGGAGGTGCGCATGGGACACCGCACCGAGGGCCTGGAGAAGTTCGCCCGTGACATCCCGGATGATCGCTGCTTCTCCATCGTCTTCAAGGACCAGCGCAGCACGCTGGACCTCATCGCCCCCTCCCCGGCTGATGCCCAGCACTGGGTACAGGGGTTACGGAAGGTCATTCACCACTCGGGTGCCATGGACCAGAGGCAGAAGCTACAGCAGTATCCTGGAGACACTGGCCTGACCCACTGGGGGAGCTGGGCTCTCCCCAGGGTGGGGGTTGGTGGATGAGAGAGGGGATGTGAGCCAGAGGAGAAGCAGCTCAGCGTGGGGGGGGTTGATAGACTACAAGCAGTGCACCCCAGATGTCTGCAATGACAGTTGGACACATATTTTGGGGGGGGTCTGGCATGGGGCTTGAACTCAGGGCCTGGACGCTGTCCCTTAGCTCAATAACTCAAGGCTGGTGCTCTACCATTTGAGCCACAGTTCCGCTTCTGGCTTTGTTTGTGTGTGTGCCAGTCATGAGATTTGAACTCAGGGCCTGGGTGCTGCTTCTGTTCAAGGATGGAGCTCTACTCCTTGAGTCACAGCTGCATTTCAAGATTTCTGGACGTTCCTGCCCGGGCTGGCTTTGAACCACGATCCTCAGATCTCAGCCTCCTGAGATGACAGGCGTGAACCACCAGCTCCCAGCTTTGTCCCCTCCACTTCCCCTATGCTCCCTTCTCCTGCCTTGCCCCCCTCCCCCCGCCCTCCACACTGGGAACCCAGGCTGGCCTCAACCGTCCAGTCCTTCAGCCTCAGTCTCTTAAAAGACGGAATTGCAGGTGTGCGCTCCACACCCAGGAGTCCCTTTCTTTAGTGACTAGTTTATGGACGGGTAATTCACACAACCATAAACCCAACTCAAGCCTGGGATCTGATCCAAGGATTTTTTTAAAATCCACATTCAGAGTTGCACAACCATCCGCACAGTCCACATCAGACCATGTCATCCACTTGAGCTCCGTGCCCTGCAGCAGCCCGGCCTGCATTACCGATAGCCCTGCACCTGCACCTGCACCTGCCCTGCACCTGCACCTGCCCTGCACCTGTGCACACACATCCACTGCCTGTGTTTCTATCCTTGCCTGTTCTGCACTTGCCAGGATCTTTCCTTTCCTTTTCATTTTCTTCTGCCTGCCTCCTTCCTTCCTTCCTCCTTTTCCTTTTTCTTCTTTCTTTGCCAGTACCAGGGTTTGAACTCAGGGCCTGGGTACTGTCCCGTAGCATATTTGCTCAAGGCTGGTGCTCTTACCCCTTGAGTCACAGTTCCACCTCCAGCTAATTTTTTCTATTTAGTTAGAGATATCCTCTTCAAACCACGATCGTCTGAATATTAGCCTCCCAGGTAGCTTCTGTACCTGTACCTATGAACCACGCTCTCACAGTAAGAAATACTATTTCCCAGCCGGGCACTGGTAGCTCATACCTGTCATCCCAGCACCTTGGGATCTGAGGATTCCAGTTTGAAGCCAGCCCAGGGGAGGAAAATCCATGAGACTTGTAATTCCAGTGAACTGCCAAAACAAAACAGACATGGAGGTATGGCTCAAGTGGTAGAGCACCAGCCTTGAGCACACAAAAAAGAAGCTCAGGGTCAGCACCCAGACTCTTGACTTTAAGCTCCACACCAGCAACAGAAACAGAAAAGAAGAGAAAAGAGAAGGAAAGGAAAAGGATTTTGAAAACCAGCAAATGGGGAAAACCCTCAAAGGTCCTGGCTGAGTGGGTGGTTTTTTTTGGTCACTGCAGGCGCATTACCATGCCAGGCCAGCAGACGGCAGTGTCACAGCCACCTGTGACTGGGTTCTTGGGGACAAAGCACAGGAATTTTCTAGTTCTTTCCTTCACCCTGGCCCAGCTGGATCCATTCCTGCTTGCGGAAAGCGGACAAGAACAAGGACAACAAGATGAGCTTCAAGGAGCTGCAGAACTTTCTGAAGGAACTGAACATTCAAGTGGACGACAGCTACGCCCGCAAAATCTTCAGGGTAAACCGAGTCACAGCTTGCTGGGGCCAGGGCGTGGTGGGGGAGGATGTGGGGAAGTCCCAACTCCAGCCGCCTGCTGCTTGCTTCTTGATTTGGCAGGAATGTGATCACTCTCAGACTGACTCCCTGGAGGATGAGGAGATAGAGGCCTTCTACAAGATGCTCACCCAGAGGGAGGAGATCGATCGCACCTTTGCCCTGGCTGCTGGGTCCGGAGACACGCTGTCTGTGGACCAGCTGGTGGCCTTCCTGAGACACCAGCAGCGGGAGGAGGCAGCGGGGCCAGCACTGGCTCTGTCTCTCATCGAGCGTTACGAGCCCAGTGAGACAGGTAAGGTCTCGGGGCTATGGAAATTGGAGGATCTCCCCAACTCCCCCCAAAAAGGGAAGGGTGAGAGAGAGAGAGGGGGGCTGGAGGGAGGCAGGTCAGAGTCCCTGGAGTGAAATGCACACTTGTCACATGAAGGGGACAGGCGGTCAGGACTCACTGGGTGCGGGTGGCTCATGCCTGTAATCCTAGCTACTCAGGAGGCTGAGATCTGAAGACCGCAGTTCAAAGCCAGTCAGGGCAGGAAAGTCTGTGAGACTCTGATCTCCAATAAACCACCAGAAAACCGGAAGTGGTGCAAAGTGGCAAAGCACTTGCCTTGAGCTGAAGAGCTGAGGGACAGCGCCCAGGCCTAGAGTTCAAGCCCCCATGATTGAAAAAAGAAAAAAAAAATCAGGACTCTAGCATACTGTCCTTTCTCTGGACCTCAGTTTCCCTTTCATTTCTTCCTTCAATACTTGTGTGTGTGTGTGTGTGTGTGTGTGTGTGTGCGCGTGTGTGCACTGATAATAAAGCTTAATCTCAGGGACTGGGTGCTGTCCCTGAGCTTCTTTTTGTTCAAGGCGAGGTCTCTACCACTTGAGTCATAGGGCCACTTCTGGTTTTCTCTGGGGGCTCCTGCGGGATGGTGGGGCATTGCGCCCGGCTCTGGGTGCCCCTCGCGGGGTGGTGGGACATCGCGCCTGGCTCTGAGAGCCCCTGTGGGGCATTCCCTCCTTCCTCCCCAGCCAAAGCCCGCCGGCAGATGACCAAGGACGGCTTCCTCATGTACCTGCTCTCTGCGGACGGCAGTGCCTTCAGCCTGGCACACCGGCGCGTCTACCAGGACATGGGGCAGCCACTCAGCCACTACCTCGTGTCATCCTCGCACAACACCTACCTGCTGGAGGACCAGCTGACCGGGCCCAGCAGCACCGAGGCCTATATCCGGTACGGGCTGGGGGTGGTCCTGGCGGCTGCGGGGGATCCTGGGGCGCTGTGGGGTGGTCCTGGGCGGCCCGG